ACTCTCTTCATTCTTCATCAAATTTTCGAGATCTAACGGATTTTCAAGGAGATTATTCCATAAAAATTCATCATCTAAGGTAAGTTGATGCTTAATCTATGATCTAACTACTTCATTTCATCAAAAACCTCCTCTTAATCTATTCAAACTCATGATCACCATCTTAGAAGCCTCGAAGTTCGAGATATTCTAAGAAGACTTGCTAGGATCGAAACTTTCTTTATTTCTTCCTTCAAAACCGAACCCACAACTAAAGGTGAGCTTCATACCCCTCTATTCTTGGTTTTCATAAGTTTTATGGGGGAGAATACATGCAAAATGTGTAGATCTATGTGTATATGTGTGCTATGTATGATTTTATGCATGTATGTGTGATTTTATGTGTTTTGTGATGAATATGTAATCAAAAGGGAAGATAATTTGAGATTTATACCATAAGAAGGAAAAGCAAACCCGATCTAAGTTATATTATACTAAACAAGTCAAAAAAATAACTCATAAGATTGTGATAAACATATTTCAACATAAAAGCCATTTTGGGGCTTAAATTGTCAAATATACAAAAGTTGCGTTAAAAGTTGCCAATCACGATTTCTTAAAGGTTAAAAGAATCAAAACAGTTACAATAGTTGTTTTTATGAACATTATGACCTTCAAAGGACCTAAAATATAAATATTAGCTTAATGGGCTCAATTTTGGGCTTTTCGGCCCAATAACCCAAAAATCGCGAAAATATGACATTTAAAGGGGATGAAATTGTAAATTCTTGAAAACAAGGGATAACAAGTGTAACAAAACTATTTCAAGGGTTAAAAAAGCTTTTCTTTTCCAAAAAGGATAAAAAATGCAAAGTTTTTAGCTTTTGGGCTAAAATCGTGAAACTTGCAAAAATTTGGGTTTTAACTGAAAAATATACTATTCTGGAATGGCTGAAACTGCCAAAGAATAAGTCTTGAGTTTAAAAATATCATTTAAACAAGTCTATGGTTCAAAAGTGTCACGAAAATGTTTTAAGGACTTAAAATGACTTTTCTTTTATATAAAGGACTAAAATTGTTATTTTATAAAAAGAAAGGGGTTGAAAAGGGTCAAACCACTATTTTTAGACCACGTATTTTATTTATAGAATAATGCGTCAAAAATACTAATCTACGGCTTACAAAAATCGAAGGATACACGTATGACTCCAAATATCGTTATAAACAAATCGCTCGGTCTCGAGTCAATACAAAAATAACAAGTCGTTCAAGCAAACCCTACAACAAGTATACAATGCCTAAGACAAATAAACATTCCAAAAACCTTGGGCTGAAAGCCTCAAATCATGCTTGTTGGATCTTGAAGTCTATTAACATGATCTTTGGGCCCAATGGGATAATGATTATATGTTATTGGGCCTTCTATGACCCAATTCCATATAAAGGGACCTTCAATGGCTATTAAGTGCTTTTGGGCCCTAGGGACCCATTAGTATTGCCAGTAAGGTCAAAGTAATCAAATGCGAGACGGACCAACGTGTCTTTTGCATCCCCGACAGCCTAAAGTGAACTCACGGAAGTAGTAGGACTTTGTACTCCTCTTTTCCTTATTAGCTAGACTTATGAGTAATCAAAGTAAACAGATTCAGTTTGTTAATCAAAAGTAATCAAGGTTGTTTGGATTTAAGTGAGTAATAACGGATGACATCTCTAAGGATCGTTCGTAGCTTGTAGTTATAAGTAGTCACTATCATGCACGGTTATAACGACTCACAACCATTAATTAATCCAAACCATCCGAGTAATCAAGGAAGAGTAATCAAGATCATTCATTGTGGCGGTATAACAATTTGAGTAATCACTATATTTTATGTATTTGGAAAACATCGGGTTTTCCGGGGAGGTTCAACATTTTCACTTGTACGTTTAATACTAAGTTCTTCAATTATACTTGTTTTTGAAATTATCATGCATATATGTACGGATCTTCACACCTTTTTACAAACAACGATCTTTTCAGAAAATATCGGATTTTCTGGGTTGTTCTCGTTCAAACTACACAAAACATTTTTCATATCAAACATACTTATGAACTAACCAACATTCCATACGTTGACCGTTTTTCAAAATAACTTGTATTCTTAGGTAACAGGTAAGCTGAGGAATAAGTACCAAGTATGTTAGTGTGTTTTGTTTTTTGAAAACTATCAAACAACTTATGTATGGATTTGTAATGTTAAAACAATGTACTTGATGTGAACAACGTCGGTTGTAATATATTGATGCATGGTGATGTTTATGTTATGTTTCATGTATATTCATTGTGATGATAATCAATTTAAGTCACACGAGCCCTCGGACGTTTCCGCCGTCTGTTTCGGGGGTGTGACAATCTCACATGAACATCCTCTTAAAAATAGAAACTCCAAATGAGAAAAGGTTGTGGCTTATCTATCACAACCAAGTATAACTTCAATTCGTTCTAAGCCACATGCTACTTGGAAACAAAATACAAAAGTGAGATGTCCATAATCAAAATTATAAAGTATTTCTAAATATCTTAACTTTATATGGCGTAGCTTTGTGAGCACTGATAAAATTATATGTAAATGTTATGGAAACATGAAAACAAATTATCTTGTGATGATTTTCTTTCGAGCATCATTTTGTTTCCTCCATGTATAACATTAAGGTGAGAACATATGACGAAATTGAGGCATCTATGTAAACTATATATATATATATATATATGAGAAAATTTTAAATTTAGCAAAATACATTAATTACTTTGTGGAAAATAGCCAAAAAAAACCAAAATTATAAAACTAGCCCTTAAAATCGCAGATGAACTAAGTCCATCTGTGATTTCGCATTTCCATCTGCGCACATACAAATGCCTAAAGGACATCTATGCTTTAGGCACTTGTACGTTCGCAGATGGAACAGTCCATCTGTGATTTTGTACATTCCATCTGTAATTTCGTAGCTATATTGTATAAAACGTTTTTTTTCCTTCATTTTTCATTATCTTTTTTAGAGTAACTCTCTTTTTCCACCTCCCGCCGGTTACAACGCAAACCAAATATTCATTCATTTGTTAGAGAGGTTTTAAACAAATTTTTCAAAAAAATAACAACAAAAAAAATAATTTTTTGAAAATTTTTCTATATAATAAGGTTGTTTCGTAGTCGTAGTCAAAATTAAAAAATTAAAAAAGGTGAGCCCGAGGTCGCTAGAGGAAAATACCCCTAGGGTCGTTACAGGAGAAATGAGCAAAGATGTTGTCGGCGAGGTGAGACAAGATTATCGATTAATTCTTGTAGAGGCCAGAGATCAACAAGTGTTTTCGTTCTTGAAAAAGCCCTAGTCCCTGCGATTTTGTGGAATTTAGTAGTACTCATACTTCGGTCGAGGCGTGTTTGAAATACTTATAAAGCGACATCTCTACACGACACTCATTTAAGAAAAGTGTCATTCGTGTTTTTAATTTTCTTTTTTACACTAATTTTATGGCACGCATAAATGCATTCCTCTATCCTTTGAATTTTGGAAAACTTACATTAATTTTAGGAAACACAAAAAATGTGTATAGTTAATCAGTGCGTGTTATTGATTGCGTGTCATTAAAGAGTTATTTTCCTATAGTGAAATAAATAGCTTAAAAATAACTTAAAATAAGAATTGTTAAAGTAATATTATATAAAGAATTATAATGTTATCTTTAAAACCAAAAACCAGATTTGTTGTTTTAAATAATTATAATCAAAGAAACGAATAATATTAATCAAATATATTTTAAAAAAAGTTAAATTTCTGAAACCAATTTAAATAACTAAGATTTTTCAAATATATTATTTTAAATAACTTACAACAACACTAGTTAAAAGTAAAATCATATACAAAAATTTTATTTTTACCTTTAAAAATAAAATCAATTTTTGATGTTTTAAATAATTACAATGATAAAAAATTAAACTCTTATTCAAATAAACTAATTTAAATTAATTAATCAAAACAACAACGATAAACATTTTTAAACCATATATTATATTTAATTTAATTCATGAGTAATCTTTGGTAGAGACCATTGAAACAATTAAGTACATATAATTTTAAAAGATGTTTATTATCGTATAGTTCAAAACAAACAATGTTTATACAAACTTATTTTATAATAGACAAAACTGCATTTTTCGTCCCTGTGGTTATCCAAAAATTGTGGATAAGGTCCAAAATGTTTTCAAGTTGCATGGTTGGTCCAAAACATGAAACTTCTTGTGGTTTTGGTCCTTGGAGTTAACTCCCGTCCATTTCCTTCCGTTTAGTGTAGCACGTGCCCTCCATGTGAGGGTAATTTTGTCTTTTCATTTGTATTACACATTACCGCCAATTGAAAGCTCTATAGCCTATTTGTGTATATCATCCATAATTATCAGTTGGCTACTCCTATTCCTTCATCCACCTTTGACGACGTGAAGATAAAAAAAACCCTAATCACAAACCCTTTTCCTGATCGAGCTTCAATCTGTAGTTGAAATTTCGCAAATACTTCTGACAATGTGGTCCATCAGAGCACACGGTGAAGAAATTGATCCCAATCAAATTTATGGTAAGATGCTCTGTATTTGATCACGTTCTTACACTTTTGAAATCTAAAAATCGTTTTTTGTTTTTTTTTTTAAGCTGGACATTCCACCATGTTCAATATGGAGCTTCATCATGGTGGGAAGTTCACAAAGTTTCCAGGCAACAAGTATATTGAAGGGGTTGTAGCATACATTGATGTGATCGATATATAAGAATTCTCATAACACGAAATGGACTCCATCATGTTAGATTTAGGGTATGTTGTTCCACCTGTCATCTACTACCATTTCCGTTTGCCCAATGAGGGTTTGGATTTTGGACTAAGAGCTCTAGGTAATGATGATGATGTACGTAACCTATCAAAATACGTGAGTGAGAACAAACTGATAATAGTGTACACATAGCATGGAGAAACAACGTTAGTTATCTATTTCATGTCCCCAAATGGTCCTAGAAGGGTTATAATAGAAGAGATTGAAGATGAGGAACCACCTCTGCCCGTATCCCCTACTGTAGGGTTGACCTTGGCAAGGTATGGGTTTTTCACACCTGAGTTGAGTAGGGGTAGAGGTTGGAAACCTACCCAAGGTAGCTCATCATGTAGTAAAAAGCTTTGCTTAGATTGGGTAGACAAAGGAGGAATAAGTGTTGTTGAAGGTGATCAAGTTGACCTTGTGACTACTAATGTTGATGTAGATATGGTTGAAAAATTAGTGAATGAAGATGTAGAGGAGGGGCAACCTATTGCAAATAAGGGTGTAGAGGAGGGGTGTACTGCTATGAATAAGCAACAACAATCAAATGAAGTCCCTTTTGAAGACAACTATAGTGTAGAAGAGGAAATTTTGGAAGATTTTTACCCTTTCTATGGGGTTGAATTTAATGAAAGTATTCCGAAAAAACCATCCAACATGGTTGATGTAGATGCAAGTAATGATGATGATTCAGATAGCAGTGAAGACAACAGTGAAGATAATGACTTTATGGTTGATGAAGATAACCTAATTCCAGATATTGAAGTAGACATGGAGAATTTTTACATGAGTATAGACACAAATGCAGAGTACTTAGGGAGTGTGTATAAGTTTCATGAGGGTAATGATGTTCAAGAGGAAGTAGAGGATATAGAGGTTATTAACAATGATGAATGGGATTCTATGGGTGAAGACTCAGATAATGATAGGAAAAGAAGGCAGATCATCAAACAGTTAGGCAAGGAGAGAGTGTGTTCTCATGGTGAAGTGCACAAGGTGGCCTTCCATGTAGGACAAAAATATAAATCAAAAAAAGAACTAAAGGAACAAATTGATAGGCATGCAATGGAGACTAGAAGAAATATTTGTTTTACAAAAAATGACATACATAGCTTGACATCTGTTTGTAAGGGAACTGTGGTAGTCAATGCAAGTGGGGTTGGTGGACCTACCACAAAAAAAGGTAAAGGGCAAAGAAGTAATTGAAGAAAAGGCCAAGTGTACTTGGAGACTCCACGCTTCTAGGGCAAATGATAATGAGTACTGGTTTGTAAAGGGCAAAGAAGTAATTGAAGCTCTCGCAACAAAAATGGTGGTCGGAGACTATACTAAACAGGATGCAGTTTTAAGAGATTATGTGTTAGAGTTACAAGCAACAAATGTGGATACAACTGTAAAAATTCAAGTGGAGTCTGAGCCTAACTGTAACAACTCAACCAGGCAATTCAAAAGGATGTATGTGTTCTTAGGAGCTTTAAAGAAAGGGTTTAAGATTGGGATGAGGGATTTTTTAGGTTTGGATGGTGCATTCATGAAAGGACCATTCCCAGGTCAGATTCTTACAGCTGTTGGGGTTGATTCCAACAATGGAATCTATCCCCTAGCATATGCAATTGTGGAGACTAAGAACACCGATAGCTGGAAATGGTTTTTGGAATGTCTTGGAGATGACTTGGACATTCATGCTAACTCAAACTTCACATTTATCAGTGACAAACAGAAGGTACTTTTATGGTTAACATATTTTGCTAGACAACTAACTTATACTTATATACTAATTTAGCTATTTCCTTCATGTAAACAGGGTCTCATACCTGCTATTGCACAAATATTTCCTTGTGCTGAACATAGATATTGTCTAAGGCATATCTATGAGAATATGAGAAAAGTACGGAGGATAACACAGTACAAGGAACATTTGTGGAATTGTGCTAAAGTCACAACCATCCCGAAGTTTAAAACACTGATGAGAGATATTGTCTAAGGCATATCTATGAGAATATGAGAAAAGTACGGAGGATAACAGAGACTAAATTTGAAATGAGCACAATGGGTCCAATTAACTTTTTCCTTGGTTTGAATATTAGACAGGGACCAAAAGGTATCTTTATAAACCAGGAAGCATACACCAAAAATCTGCTGACTAAATTTGGAATGAAGGGTGATTTAAAAGTAAAGGTTCCTATGGCATTCGACACCAAGCTAACTCCATCCCTGGAGAAACCGGCTGTGGACATAACTCTTTATCGACAAATCACTACTAGAAAAATAGCCTTATACGACGCGCAAACAACGACACTCATTAATCTATGTTACGCAAAAGAGAGTGACATTAAAAAAGTGACATCTCTTCAAAAAATTTAAAGATTTAGGTCACGCATTATTGCGTGCCCTTAAATTAGTGTCTAATCCAAAAAAAAAACACGGAGGGCACCTCTAATAAAATACGTGTCATCTATGGATGTCGCTTTATAAATTTTTTTGGAACGTGCGTTGCATCCCCTAATAAACAGGAGGGGGAAAAATGGAATCCTAAAAAATTGAAAACCCCGCCTTCCTTTTTTCTCCTTTCCCTCTTGCCCTCCTTTCCCCTTTGCCCTAATTATCGACGCTCAAATGAAAAGGAACAACTAGACTCAAAGTTGAAATTGGTCGGAGAATACAGTCTACGATGTAAAGTTGAAAAAGAACAACTCAGAAAAATCTGTAATGCTGCGAGAATGCTTCTAACTCTTGAGGACAAATATCCACGAAGAATATTCGAAGGCGAACTCTCATGATGACCATTATCTAGGGAAAACTTCATTGAATGCCGTCTTCCAACCCTCGTCTTCATTGAACAGACTATTTATTATCAAAACATCATAGGGACCATTATCTAGGGCTTTTTTCAAGGAGTGCTTTGTGCAATGTTCTCTACCTCGACTCTCCTCACCTGCAAGCGACCTCAACTCACCTCTTTCCACCGGAGACCTCAGGCTCACCTCACCTCACCGGAGACTGGAAAAACTACTCAAGTTTCTAAGCCCTAGGGCTGATTAAGGTATGTTTATCATGTTCTCGACACACCTCAACAACACCACTAAAACACATTCTTAGTTGTCAACTTACTCTGCTAACCAATGTTCTCCATATCGCCTACTTCTTGCCTTCCCATGGTTCGCTAATTAGTTCTGATTCGCCAAAGCTCACGACTCCATGTGAGTTCTTCCCTTTGTGTTGTATCTGAAGAAATTAGAAAAGTTTATGATCAATGTTCATGATAATTACCTGATTTACCTGATTGAAATCACTCTCCGTAGACAAATGATTTGATCACAAAAAAAAAAGTGAATTTGGAAAATTTTTATTTGTTCACTCGTGAACCATGAGAGTAGGTAACCTGTTTGAATAAATTAATATGAGATGTTACTTTTAAAATTTCTGATTGTGAGAGAAAAAAGAAGAAACCTATAAAGCATGTAACCTAGTTTCATATGTAATCTCATTAAGTTATTTAGCATACCCAACTAATTGAGGGTTAAATGTTTGTTTTCAATACTATTAATCTATTGTTTCCATATGGACCGGGTAATCTATTGTTTCATGCATTTACCCTTTCATCATTTCCGATTTCCTTTTGCATTTTATATGCTTTTGAGATAATCTGCTATCAGACAAGATGTATGTCTGTTTCTGTCTGACGTATTAGTTTCCCACTAATACTGATTAGATGAGTAGGGTGACCTGTTATCATGTATGCTTGCCACATAAAGTTGTATTTTGCCATGCTTGAGTAACTTGCACCAATAGTTATTAAGCAAAAAGCTTGTAGTGGGTGATTTAGTTTTATTAGTTAGAGTTCACATGGTTATCAAAGTAGTTTGCTTTAGAGATTTGCTGGAGGCTGCTGTTGCTATATGCTAAACCTAGCAGCATATTGTTTGTTATAACTTCACTCAAAGTTTGACCTGAACTATTTTGCTAATGTTCTCATATATCTTTTTCTTAAATCATAATTTTCAGGGTCTATATTTTTGTGTTCCATTTCGTGAACAACTACTCAAATATTATGAGAAGGTTAAAAATCCAGATGTGGAAGAAAATCTCCTTACATGTTTGGCAGAACTGTTTACACAGGTATACATATTTACTTGTAAATAAGTTTTTAATGGTAGTTATTCTTTTCTCTTAGTCACTTTATATTCTACACAATGGGCTTTTTTCCATAGCTGTAACCATTCCATATTTTTTTAAGTTGCATTTTATTTTCCTCATGATTTATATTCACCATTTAGGTTACTTGTATCAGATTAGTACACAAAAGAAGAAAATAGATGTTATTGCTCCAAAACGCTTTGTACAAAGAGTGAAGAAAGAACATGAACTTTTCTGTGGTTACATGCATCAGGTATTATAATTATATTATATAATAAACCAACCTCTTACATCAAATATGAAAATCCATTTACACTTAATTTTTCTGATGATGTTTTGAGTTTTGTGTAGGATGCACATGAATTTTTGAACTTTTTGTTAAACAAACTAGTTGATATACTAGAGAAAGAAACAAAAGGTACAAAAGAACATTCATCACCTCCTGAAAAGATTCCCAATGGCATACATGTCCCTTTGGCCAATGGTGTAAGAAAGGAGACCTTGGTTACATGGGTTCACAAAAACTTTCAGGTATATTCATATCTTTATTATTTTTCATTTTACTTAGCTTACCAATATCAAATATTAAACTCATCAATTGTCCTATTTTTTCCAATTTCAGGGTATACTCACAAACGAAACAAAGTGTTTAAGATGTGAGACTGTAACTGCAAGAGATGAGACACTCTTAGATCTGAGCCTTGATATTGAGCAAAACAATTCCATTACAAGTTGCCTAAAGAACTTCAGCTCCACCGAGACTTTAAATGCTGAGGATAAGTTTTTCTGTGATAAGTGCTGCAGGTTTCTACTTTTATTTTTATTTTTTATTTTTTTGTAATTATGGTTTTTTTATGAAGGAAATGTAAAGATGTTTTGCTTTTTACAGTTTACAGGAAGCACAGAAGAGGATGAAGATCAAGAAACAGCCGCATATTTTAGTGATACATGTCGCAAATATGCCAAATCTAAAAGGGTTCTTTTCCATTATAATGGTCATGGTGTACCTAAACCAACTACCAATGGTGAAATTTGGTTTTTAACAGGGTAATTATATGTTTTTATTTTGCACTATCTTTCTATATTCATGCCTTGTATTCAATAGTTTCCCTAGACTAATTTCCTCTATTCTTGTCAAATGTTGTAGAGTTATACACGGTATATTCCATTGCCTATCAGCAACCTTGACTCATGGCTCAAGACTCCGTCCATATATGTTTTTGATTGTTCTGCTGCAGGGATGATTGCCAATGCCTTCATAGAGGTATTATTAACTATTTATTTCTTGACAACATTGTTACTATTATTTGACTAAATGCTTGAATATCATTTATATGTATATAACTCCAGGATTGGACTCCCTCAAGTTCTTATTTAGGAACTTCACCAAGAGACTGTATTCTACTTGCAGCATGTGAAGCACATGAAAAAGTCATGAGTTTCCTGTTGATTTCTTCATTTCTTGCCTTACAACTCCCATCAAGATTGCCTTAAGATGGTTTTGCACTTGATCATTACTACATGAATCACTTGATTATTCACTTATAGACAGAATACCTGGGAGACAAACTGATCGTAAGAAACTTCTTGGTGAGTTGAACTGGAGATCATCTGCCTTTATTGATTATTCACTTGATTGTTCTCCTGTATCTTATCCAATGTTACCTCCAAATCATCAACAGCATATGTGGTAATAAACACATGAACTTGTTTATGATGTTATAATTCTTGAATCTTGATTATTTTGGTTATGGTTTGACCACATGTCATTACAGGGATGCATGGGATATGGCTGCTGAAATTTGCCTTTCACTTGATTGTTCTCCTGTATTTTATTTTGGTTATGGTTTGACCACGTGTCATTACAGGGATGTACATCACTTAGAATTTTTCATTTTATTCATTTCTACATTATGACAAATCTATAATTATGAGCATACTTCCATGTCTTGCTTGCTTTTCAGTTTTTTGGTGAGTTGTGCATAGTTTGATCTTGTGAAAGCATCTGGATTGGTTCCTCCTGTGATGCAATCATACAGTAATAATATTAATGGGGATTAGGATTTGACAGAAGGTAAATTGATGACATAACAACAGCAAATCCTAGGAAAGAAGGGTATCTTGGTCCGCTTGAGTATACTTCATATGGAGATTGCTACAAGCAAAAGTAAGCATTCAAGTCTTGTACCGTTTCATTTCTAAACTGTTGTGATCCAAAAAACAGAGAGAGGAAAAAAGGAATAACCATATATATATATATATATATATATATATATATATATATATATATATATATATAATTGTAATCCATAAAGTCAGAAAAGACACAGCCCATTCCCTTCATTTACTTCTTGTTCAATTTTGTTTATGTTGTACATTCCAGTAACTGATTTTTCATGCTGCAGGTTCTGTTTGAAGATTTGGGCAACTTTAAGCAGGTTAACTCTGCCATCTTCACATTTTATTTTCTCACAACAATTTGGCATTGGAATTTAACATTGATGACATAATTCTCCAAGCAATAATGATGTTCTTTATCACTCAGTATTATTGGCTAGCACTTTGTATCTCTTTCAAGCATGTATATCTTCATAGTGGATTTGAAAAGTTGTTTTTTAATCCATTAATTCCCATTTTTCTAGTCAACTAAATTTTAAAATGTGCTTACCATATTCACTAATGATGTTGCAATATTGGTGATATGTTGATAGCTAAATCTTCCAGTATTTCACTCTTTTCTATTTTCTTAACTCTCATAGCAACACAATGATCTTATTATATATCATTTTGGAACAACTTTTTTTAGTATGTTCATGGGCTGGCAGCTCGATCAGTTCATTATCATTATTATCATCATCTAGGACCAATTCTACAAGACTCCGGGTTCTTCTTCCTGTATGTATAACTCAATGCTCAGATCTTTCTTTATTCATAAAACACATTCTTTATGTCTCTAAAGTCCTAATGATCATATTTATAATTATGTTTATTTTTCATGAAAGAACTTGGGCAGGAAAGAGCATATGTCAGTGAGACATTATTCACCTTTGTCTTCCTTTCCTTTGTCCTGGTAATTATTCTTTCCATTTAATGTTTTGTAAGCTCTAATTACTTTGCATTTATGATTGTTATGTATATTCAGTTCCAATGGTTTTCTTTATTACTGACGGGGCTGTTGAAAATGAGAGAAAAATCTGTGAAGTTATAAAGAAACAACTAGAAAACAAAGGATCAAAATTGGCCCCACGTATTAACACATTTGGTATAGGTATTGCTTCGTATTATTATTCCCTCCTTTTACTATACATACTTATTTTATTTTTTTGACAAAGAAAATAAGCATTTTGTTTTTAATTGTAAGTGTGATTGACATTGCATTCTCCTTTAATTTTATTTCCACTTTTTCTTAGATCTGAAAGATTTGATAAGCTTGCATACCTTGTTGTTTCCTTGATTGTGCAGGATCATACTGCAATCATTAGTTTTTGTGAATGCTTGCAATGATTGGCAAGGGTCATTATGATGCTTCTTACAATTCAGGTACATAATTCATATGTGTTTCAAAACATTAAAATTTAAATGGAGGGGAAGCCAAGGAGTTTGTTCCTCTTCTTTTTGTGTTTTATTCTTTTACCCTTGGCTTCTAGTTATTTGTATTTGTTGTCATCTGTTTTTATCTTTTTGATGCAATGCAACATGTTGTTGCTGAAGGCATAGCCTTGGTCAAACAGGCAGAAGATGTTGCAGGTAATAAGAAGGCAGAAAAGAGATTGCAGGTTGATCCTGCTACATGGCCAATAATGATCTTTAGGGTCTGCTAGAAGGATTGGAGATTGCAGTTAAGCTTCTATGTAATACTTCACGCTAAGGACTTGATGAATTTAAGCTAGCAATATTTTACTTGATTTGGACATGAACCCTAAGATATCATATTTTGACATGGCTAGAAACTTTGGAGGAAACAAGACTCAAGCAAAAGTAAACACATAGAGAGTTGTTGGCACATAGTAAGCTAGATAATGCAATTGTATATAAATGAGTTCATTTTTTTATAACATTTACTCACTATTGGAATAATTATTTGTATTTGACATATTAGTGAAATAAATTATCTTTGTTATTTATGGTATTTTATTTTGTATTATGAGATTTTTAATGTATTATTTAATTTGAAAATTAGTAAATCTATAAATAATATTTTTTTTAAACATTTAAAATTATGATACGCAAAATTGTGTGTCATCTTCATTTATGACATGGCCTTTCTTGATACGCATTGAGTGTCATTAACACGCGCGTCGTAAGGTTATGACACACGAATGCGTGTCGTCTTCCTTTATGACAGGGCCTTCCTTGATACGCATTGCGTGTCGTAAACGCGCATCGTAATTGCGCGTCGTAAATGAGCGTCGTAAATGCGCGTCGTCTATAGACGACGCGCAAAAACGCGTCATCTCTCTTTATGATAGGGCCTTCCTTGATGCGCATTTGCGCGTCGTCTGAGCCTTTTACGACGTGCAATGAGCGTTGTAAAAGGCTGTTTTTCTAGTAGTGAATGATAGGATCCCTTATGTATCTAATAGCTAGTAGACCAGATATCATGTTCTCTGTTTGTTATTGTGCCAGGTTTCAAGCTAATCCAAGAGAACCCCACATGCTTGCTATGAAGAATATTTTTCGATATCTGAAGAAGACTTCATCATCTCGGTCTCTGGTATCCTGCAAGATCTGGATTCTTCATACAAGCCTTTTCAGATGCTGATCTTGGAGGATGTGGACTGGATAGGAAAAGCACTACCGGAGGATGTCAATTCCTTGACGGAAAACTTGTCAGTTGTCAATCAAAGAAACAAACCTGTGTTTTCTTATCCACAGCAGAAGCTGAATACATTACTGCCGCATCATGTACCTCTCAGGTTGTTTGGATTCAAAGTCAGTTAAGAGATTATGGGTTGAGTATGAAAAAGATCCCTCTCTATTGTAACTCTGAAAGTGCAATCAGGATTTGTCATAATCCAGTGCAACATTCGAAAACCAAGCACATTGCACTTAGGTATCATTTCATCAAGGATCATGTAGAAGACGGGAACGTAGAAGTACATTTTGTTCATTCTGCTGATCAACTGGCCGACATCTTTACTAAAGCCTTACCTGAAACAACCTTCAATAAAATCTTATAAGGTTTGGGTATGATGGAAGGAGAGTCGGTACCGAATGCTCAAATCACTCTTTAAAATTAAGACAACCGAGATAGACAGACTGCTCGGTCTATCTCTGCTGCAGATTTTTGGGGAACCGACATGGATAGACCGCTTTGTCTATCTCGGCTCCGCTCTGTCTACTCTCAATAATAAGATAAGGTTTCGGTTGTATATTGTAAGTTTTTCTGTTTTTATTCTTTTTTAGAAAATTTCAAAAATCCAAATATATTTTATCTTTCTGTTTTTATTCTTTTTCAGAAAAATTCAAAAATCCAAAAATATTTTTTTCTTTCTGTTTTTTTTCTTTTTCAGAAAAATTTCCAAAAATCCAAAAATATTTTATCTTTCTGTTTTTATTTCTTTTTCAGAAAATTACTTAAAAATATTTTATTTGTTTCAATTGCCTGTTTGTTTTGTTTGGTGTCTATCATTAATAGGTAAATACAAGTATAACCGTCGATAGATCTAAAGCAGGTATGTTTTAACTTTCACACAACCTAGTTAAGGGTCCCTAGAAGCATGCTGATGTATGTTGTCATAAAGCCTCTATGATCTCGAGTAAGCCTTAATGATTCAATCGATACCCATCGTTTCTTCCAAATCAGGCTATTTTACCTCACTCGGTCTAGAGCTACCTTACTCTTCTCATTTGAGTAAAGAGTTTCTCTGCTCTGTCACGCTTATCTAGCAGAAGGTACATTCGGTTCTTCAACCACCTCTTTATATTCTCCATCTACCTTCGGTTCACTAACGTAACCCTTGAGACTCTCGGTCTTTACCACTGAGGTTTATGGTTACACAATATCTGTGTTTATGATCTTGGATACAATTACCACGTTCTAAGTGAAACCCAAAATCCGACACCAAAAATGAATTGACAGTGAGTGATATACTCAAGCATTAACTGGTTACCTAAGGAAATCTCTTTTTATTTTGCGTGATCTTTTATGAAATCGTCTACAGCTAAGACATTTCTTCCCAAAGAGGTCCAGTTTATTTTTTTTTTTGAGATTTCTGCTTCCTATAAGTCATTAATATAATAAATCCCACCTACCTGTTCAATAGATCACATCGGTCTCACAGGTACCTCTACCAACAATCGGTTTTATGGTAAAACTCGATGTTCGGTTGGAGGAAAGCCACCCAATGCCTATGATCAAAAGAAGCCTTTCAATGTTTATTAACAAACAGTTGATCGTATTTTTCGGGAAACCACACAAGAACTTCAAGTCTCTCTTGACTTTGAAGGAAGTGATTCATGCCCGGAATCCTCTGCTTTCTGTCTTCTAAAAA